TGTGAACCGAGGAGCTATTTTCTTGATGTGAGCTTCTACTCCAGTTTTCTTCCAGTTCAGAGCAGATTTTTTTTGTTAAGATACTGGATGTTGTGTTTTTCTCCACAATTTTAATTATAAGCTAGATATATTGCTGCTGACAGCAACAGGGATGAGTCAGTAAGTCAGTTGGGCTTGTGAATCATGATTCATGAGTCAGTAAAGTGATTCTCGAGTACTGAACAATTCGTTCATGATTCGCGCATCACTAGTAAGGACATCACCTGTTTTCATGTTCACATTTCCCTCTCACCACATATCCAAACCGATATCAACACCAGCAGCTTTTATGGCTGTGGCTCCAGCAAACATCAGCTGATACTAGGAAGTAATATTAAACCAATTCTAACAACAGCTTATCAAGCATAAACCTGCTGCTGTTGTTTAGCGTGACATCCACTGGTTTCCTCTTTCTGGCGCAAAGTGGGCGATAAACAAACGAGAAAAAAGCTGATCAGCTGATAAAGCTGCTTTGAATTGTGTTCTCCTTAACTTTTCGTGCCACACACAGCTGGAGACAGAGTTTTAATTCATTTGAAAGCGTTTTATTATTATTATTTTAAAGTATTACTTTGTTGTATTAATAACCCTTAATAAGTCCTCGAGCCATTTTTCAGCCACTGTGTTTTTTAATTTCAAGCCATTTTCACTGTGTTGAATAAAATATAGCCAAACTTGCCAAACACTTTTTTTTTTATTTTAAAATTGTGGTCTAAGTTCATTAGATTAGCCTAAAATGGCTAAGCTACAGAAATGCATCCACCTTTAGTCCTAGTGGCAAAAAACGCCCCATTGAAAACCATTATAAACCCTATTTTTCATCCCAAATTTATCATAACATAAACGAATGCAGTTCTGGACTTTTCTGGGGAGTCGGGGGATTACATTTGTAATTTGTTTTATTTGGCCAGCAGGTGGCGCCATGTTTTCACATTTAAAGCAATGGTCCAAAATTCATTATTCTTCCCACTTTTTTTGTTTACTACAATGATTTTTCTGTCACTATCAATGCTGCACAATGGCATGTGTTTTTAAAAAATAATTGTCTTTTTGCCTAAAAAAAAGAAAAAAACATAAAGATCTTTGTGCCAAAAAAAATATTTTTTTTGGACATTTTTGTGTCTAATTTCAAAAATCTTAGAATGCCACACTGCAATAAAAACAAATAACTATAAAAGCTAGAACCAAAACCAAATCTGACTTTATTTGGCTCCAAACTCAGATTGTTGATGCAGACTTTTTATGAGAATAAATGAGAATAAGCCGTAGTGCTGAAGTATGTCATTTTGACGACATTTCCTGTCTGCACAGAAAACGTGCCCATAAGAATATGAGAAAATGTGAGGATACAGGAGATCGATTAGACAATCGTCCTTCACAGATGATTTATGAGATTCATGACGGATATTTCAGAGGCAGAAACGATTTGACACTGTTCCCAGGGGAGAGGAGATCATAAACAAGTTGTTCAATGTACTTAGAAAAATGGAAAAATAACTTGATATCCGGCACACGCGGCGACTGTCATAGCAGCCATATCGCCTTGCTCCGGTGATCGACACAGCAGCCGAACTATATATATATACATTTTTTGGGAGTAACGGAATACATGTACCGCCGTTACGTATTTAAAACAAAGCATATAGTAAAGGCTAGATTAGGTCACCCTGACTCCTCCCTTAATTAATGCTACAATAGGCTTAGGCCACTGGGGGCTTTCCATGATGCACTGAGAATTCTTCATTCATATCTTTTTACTCACTATGTGTTTATACAACACTCTGCAGGTAGTTATTATTAATCATCAGGCTCTCTTACTGTCTTACTCCCCTCACCTCCAACTGGTTGCAGCAGATGACTACCCCTCCTTGAGTCTGGCTTCCTTCACACTGTTGCCAAAGTGCTTGCCCATAGGGGGTCATCAGATTGTTGGGGTTTTCTCTGTTTTATCTGTATAATTGCAGGGTCTTTACCTTAGAGTATAAAACGCTTTGAGGCAACACTGTTGTTGTGATTTGACACTATATAAATAGAACTGAGTTGAACAAACTGAATTGAAAAAGAGCAACCAAAAGAACAAAAAAAAGTTCCCCAAAGCAATGCTTTGAGCTATTATACTGAGAAGTATTCTGATATTTGGCAGGTGAATGAGTGTTTGTCAAAACATTCAAATATTCCAATAAGCAATGTTTCATTTGTACATAATTCGATACAGAACACGACCATCTCTCACTGTTAGAATGTTTTAGACAAATCACCAATTATGACAGTCTTCTCGTTTTGTGCATGCAATCATTTAAGTGGTTATTGTGCTGCTTTTGGTCTTGTCACTACCACAGGTCGCGGTGGCAAAGATGCGAAACACACAACAAGTGTATGCTCTGAAGATTATGAATAAGTGGGACATGCTGAGGCGAGGAGAGGTACACAAGCACAGATAACCTCACATTCACAACACTAAGAATAGGGTTATGACAACATAATGGGGACTCAAACTTTAAATCTATGAGGCCTTTGTTATTGTTAATTCAGCATTATATTTTTCTGCCTGCTGCTTTTCATTTGTCTGGCATCGAGTTCTCTTCATGCTTTTCTCTCTTGCTCTTCATGCACAGACAGCATGTTACCAAGAAGAGAGGGAAGTTTTGTTAAGGGGTGACAGACGCTGGATCACAGAGTTGCACTATGCCTTTCAAGATGATAACTACCTGGTATGTTTATACATGGTCAATCAGATAAATATGTTGTTGTCTACATTTTAGCATTTTATATTTAACTTTGATCCCATTACTAATTTTCACAACCTTCCAATCCCTTCTCACTCAGTACCTGGTGATGGATTATTATGTAGGTGGAGACCTGCTGACTCTCCTCAGTAAATTTGGGGATCGGATCCCTGAGGACATGGCTCAGTTCTACTTGGCAGAGATGGTTATGGCCATTGACTCTGTCCATAGACTGGGTTATGTGCACAGGTAGACTGCTTATTGATTTTTTACTTTTTTTTTTCTTATTTAGGGCTACAGTCATACAGAGTTTGCAGAGAAACCTTATCTAAAATATATGTATCAGAGATATGAGGTTCAAATATTAATATTAGCTCTCTCCTAAAACTGACTAACATAAAGAAACTATAATCATTTGATCATAATGACTTCTTTTTGTTAATGAAATCTGACATTTAAAGGTTAAATAGCCCTATTTACCTGTTTTCTTACACAGAGACATCAAACCTGACAACATCCTGTTGACAGCTGATGGGCATATTAGACTGGGAGACTTTGGTTCCTGTCTGAGGCTACTTGATGATGGGATGGTGAGAGTTCATTGTGTGCAAGTAACAACGGACAGACAGACAGACATTAGTTTTCACAAAGAAAGATGTGCATAAAAAGCAGCACTGTCTCCTAAAAGTAGTGCTCTCATACATTCTCAGTTACATTCTTAAACTCATAGCAACAGTCTAGCTTTACAGTAAAGATTACAATATGTCATGGAATACCTGGAGAGAGGAAGGACTGCACATCCCTTGACCCGGACAGGGGTGGACTGGGACAAAAAAATCGGCCCGGGCATTTTGACTAGAGACCAGCCCACCAGGTATTATAGGGAAAGCCATGGAGCCTTTGAATGAACACAAATGGTGTTGTGACAGTGATGCACACTGTCTTGTTGGTATATATGTATGTTTTCTATACATTTTACATTATGACCACTCTGGCTGTAAGATTCAGATGATTATTTATTAAAAGTGAGACATTTTAAATGAGAATAAGAAAGAAAAGTATTTCTTTGTGCCCCCCAATCCCCGTTAATGCCCTACCTGCCTCCCCTGGAAAAACTTTGCTAGACCCAGCAAACATCAGCTGATACTAGAAAGTAATATTAAATCAATTCTAATAACAGCTTATCGAGCTTAAACCTGCTGCTGTTGTTTAGCGCGACATCCGTTGGTTTCCTCTTTCTGGTGCAAAGTGGGCGATAAACAAACAAGAAAGAAAAGCCGATCAGCTGATCATTGATCAGTTTCACGATTGAAGTAGCAACAGGAGAGGGAGGGAGAGAGAATGAGAAAAGAAGAGGCAGCTGCGCAGCAAAGACACAGAATAACTCCAGCTTTGAGTCTTTTATTCATTCTAGCTGAAGTACGGGACAAATTGCGTTTCTTTTCAACTCAATACCATTTTCTTCTGTTTGTCTGTGACAAGACTGCTTTCAGAGGGAGGGCGCATCTGACTTCCTCGGCTGTAATTTCTATTTCTGTTATTTCTATTTTTCTTTTAATCTGTCTTCTTTTCTTTGCAGGTGCACTCGTCTTTAGCAGTCGGGACCCCAGATTATTTGTCTCCAGAGATCTTAAGAGCAGTGGAGGGAGGTGGAGGTTATGGTCCTGAGTGTGACTGGTGGGCTCTGGGCATTTGTGCTTATGAGATGTTGCTGGGGACCACACCTTTCTATGCAGAGTCCATCTCTGAAACATATGCCAAGATCATTCACTTTCAGGTACATACAAGTAGCTTTAATGTCATATAAATGCCAAAATTAAAAATTGGAGTATAATAAAATTTCTGCACACATTTTAATTGCGATGACAGATTTCCATTCACTTCTGTTGCAAGTATTTTTAATGATCCATCTGTGTGCTGGTAAAACAAACAAAATAACAAAATGCAATTTTGGCACATAATTCAACAATTATAATGGACCAAATGGACCAAATGGGCCTTAATCACTTTATCCAGACCAAAAAGGTTAGGTATTTAGAGAAGACAGTATCTGAGTGTAATTCTCCGGGCTGAAACAAAAATTGTAACTAAATATTTCCAAATGTTTAAATCTGTTTTTATTCATTTGTTTATACAACCTAGTGTGTATGGCATAATGGCACCAGTTTAATATCTATGATGCAGTGTAAACAGAAATAAGCACTGCTAGTCTGGATTGTCTGTTTGTTTCAGTTTTGTTTTTCATAAGTCAGTGGAGAAACTTAAAGTACATTTCAAGGGTTATAGTACCATGAGGTGTAGGTGGTTTAAAAACCTTTGGTTGACTTATCAAGTTCATAATAACCTTCATGTGATTTCTGATAAAGGAATGAGGTCATAGTTGTTCTAAGCTTCATAAAGACAATTATTTACAATGTTTTATGTTAAATGTATATTAACTGGCCATTACATAATAGTTTCTATTCAAACTGACCACCTTAGTTTATTCAAGCAATGCTTTTTCTGTTGAGCAAATGCAATTTGAAGTTTACTGACACTTTGACAGAGGGACTGGATAAGTGTGGAATTGAGCACAATTGGGCTTTAAATTAAATCTAACAGCATAGTTTTTAACAGCATCAAAGCACTCAAAATAATGTTGCTAGAAAAAACAACAAAGTTAACAACTTTCTTCAATTGTTACTTTTTTTTGATAACCCTTAGGAGTATTTTGAGTTTCCTTCTTCTGGCCCTGAGATTTCAAAGCAGGCTCGTTCCTTCATCAATGAACTGATCTGTGACAGGGAAGTCCGTCTTGGAAGGAAAGGCTCCAGTGAATTTAGGAATCATCAGTTTTTCAGTGGACTGGACTGGAGTTCCCTGCACAAACTCCCTGCACCTTTCCTGCCTGAAGTCTCTAATCCAACTGACACATCAAACTTTGACATCCTCGACGACTGTCTTAGTGAAATGGTAACTTAAAAGAATTTTCATTTAGTATTTGTGTGTGCCATACCCTGGCATAAGTCTGATATAAACATATTTGGTTAACTTTCATAGCCAGCATATAACATTAATAAATAAACCACCCTAATCCTATAAAGCTGCCGGTGTGGTCAACATGGGAAATGTGTGTAGCTTCTGACAAAATAAGAGCAGTTGGTGGTTGTTTGCATGAAAAATTTTAAATCTGTTATGTTTTGCAGGAGACACTATCTGATGTAATGGACAGAGCTCGAATAGGAGTACACTTGGCTTTTGTTGGATACTCTTACACTGCTACCAGGTGAACTCAAGTTTAACTTATGTAGTTCAGCTAACTTACCATAACTACCTTTCACATCAAACTTCTTCCACTTATCTGGGGCTGGGTCGCAGGGGCAGAGAAGCCCAGACCTCCCTCTCCCCGACCACCTCCTCTACGGAAAAACCAAGGAGTTGCCTTGTTTTTTTTTAAAGTCAGTGTAAGTTTGCAGACCTTGTTGGTGAAGACCATGAAGTTTTTGGTGTGATAGGGTGTGTTCCCCATAAGCTGAACTAAGATGGTGGCAAGTTTGGCAGGATTCTAGGTGGCTGAGTTTATATTGCTAAGTTTGGCTCTGAAAGGGCGCCTTCTTTGGGGATCTTCAGAAGTCCATAGGTCCCTATATACAGGGTGTAGTATCCCCATGGTAAAGTTGTTGTAGGGAATAAATTACTTTTCTTATAATATACTTCTTTATTTTGTCTATATTTTATAGTCAGACAGGTGCTGTTGTCCGCAGTCAAGATATCATGATGCAGATAAACCACACCCAGCTTAGGGAATGTGAGAATCTGTATGGACTCGAAAAACTGGTAAGTCGATCTCACTCTAGAAACTGCATACACCTCAGAGCTTCCATTTAAAGACACCTATGATAATGTAATTATCATAGTCAGTCAGCGGATTTTCCTTTTTATCCCACTGATGATCTGCATGTGCTTTAAATTCAGAGTCAGCTATGGAAAGTTACAGACAATCTACCAGACAATCGGCCTCCACTGTTTGAGCTTCCACTTACTTTAGACCAAGATGCTGCTGCATCCACCCACACCACCACAGTGGAGGAGGCGATATCAGGACTTGATGAAGACTTGGAGAGGTATCAGCTAATATAATTTCATCTGCAGTCCATCTACATAATCTGAATATAATTCCTATCTCTTCTCAATTTACAGTAGGCTTTATTTATTACACTTCATTGGATGCTAAATCTTAAGTTTTTTCAGAAAAATTTAATATGGAAATGGTTTGGTTCGGTCCTTGAAGGAAATATTTTAATATGAATAAGCTGCAGTGTATTTTGCATTTCCTTTTTGAGGTCAAAAGGCCATTAACATCATGGACATCTGGCTAATTTTTATCAATGCATGTTAATTTATGTACTGAGATATTACATACGGACAATGGTGACTATGAAAAGTGGTAACAAAATCAATCCAGCACTATTTACCACCACTGGACTTCTGAAATCTGTTCTGAAATACATATTGACTGTTACATTTAACACCTGACCACTTGTATTTGAGTATTAGTATTAGACATTTATTCCTTCATTAGGCCATAAATAACTTCCATGAACTGTAAAGCAGATCAAGTAGGTTTACTTGAACTCTAAGTTGATCAGCCCTGGGATTGGCAAGTTTTCCAGTTCCAGAACAGTTGATCAGGAAAGAATCATGCAGGTTGAAACAAGAATCTCAGCAATTGAAGATAATGTAAATAAGCTCCCAACTAAGGTAAAAAAACAAAACAAAACAAAACTGGAAGACAAAAAGACATTCAGAAGAAAAAAATTGTAGTGTGCTATATTGCAAAATTCTTATTGTTTTCTCAGTTATACTGTTAATGATAAAGTGAGCAAGTAAGTAAAATTTTATTTGTATAGCACCTTTCAAGACAAAGACCACAAAATGCTTCACAAGAAAATACCATACATTAAAAAAAACTTTATTAAATGCAAGTATAAAAAGATTAGTTTTGAGTTATTTTTTGAAAAAGACAACTTAGTCCAAAGATCTGAAGCTCAGAGGAAGAGAGGTCACTGTGTCTATAGTTTTCAGCCTCGTATGGTGTTTGTCAATGACAAACAGCAAACAGCAAACTCCAGTGCGAGCTGGAGGCCACCACCTGATGAACCCAACAGAATCACCTTTTATCTATAAAAACTAGGCTCAGAATTGGTGACAAAGGGCAGCCCTGGCAGAGTCCAACACCCACAGGGAATGAGCCTGACTTACTGCCTGCAATACAAACCAAGCTCTCGCTACAGAGACTGAATAACAACTGGCCACACACCCAATACCCTCAAAGCACTCCCCGCAGGATATTCCAAGGGATCGGTATAATGTCCACAAAACACATGTAGACTGGTTGGCCAAACTCCCGTGAATAACCTCGAGAGTATAGAGTGCTGGTCCAGTATTCCACAGCGAGTATGAAAATTGCATTGTTCCTCCTCAACTTGGGGTTTGACTAATGGAGAGACTCTTCTTTCCAGTATCTTGGCATAGACTTTCCCAAGGAGGCTGAGCAGTGCGATCCTGTATAGTTGGAGCACACCTTCCTATCCCTCTCCTAAAATAGGGGAACCACTCGAGTCTGCCAGTCCAGAGGCACTGTCCCAGACCTCCATGCAATGTTGTGGAGATGTGTCAGACAGTCCTACAACATGAAGTTTCCAGGAGCCTTTCTGTTACTGTGCAGTTGCTTAACCATATAGTGACCTAAACCCCAGTGATGGGCAAGTCGTCCCCCTTCTCCCCAGACTCTGCTTCCATAGGTTCTCAGTTATCAAGGTCATGGTTTTCTAAGGAGCTTGGAAAAAAAGCAACTAGACTTGTTTAATTTTCTTGAAGACATTTCACCTCTCATCCGAGAAGCTTCTTCAGTTCTAAAATCAAATGGTGGAGAGTCCCAGGTATTTAATCCCCAGTCGGTGTTATCCTTTAAGAGGGTCATATTAATCATATGACTCATCACATGAGCCAAGGTGTGATAAAAGCCGTGGGTCATTGTCAGCAGAGTGAAACCATTGTGAGAGCTTGCCTCACCCTAATATGTCCCCATTGAGGTCACATGACGCAAGATGTGAGTGGGGATTGACGCGCCAGGGAAGGGATCTCAAAACTGAATTGTAGGTAGCATTGTCAAGTACAGACATGTTTTAAAGGTTCGTTAAATAGTATGAGGTATTTTTTTACAATGCTAAACTTCAGGGTTTTGACTGCAGATCAACTTTGAAACCCGAACTATTTACTTTATCCTACAGACGATTTCATGAAGCAGAGATGCGATATTGTGAGCTGGAGAAAGAAATGGATAGATTAAGGGAAGAAATGCAGGAATGGAGAATCCCCAAGAAGACAGGCAAGTGAGCAACCTTCACCACACCATCATGTTCATGTCATCAACATCAGTCCGTACAGTCTACCTCTGTTTAAGTACAGTCAATATCATTCTGACATGGTGAAGATCTTTGTCGACTTTTATCAGTCAACCAATATTTATGTGACCATTTATAAAAGCAGGGAAATAGACAGAAGTCTAGTTCATGTTAAGATAAAGATGTATTTTAAATTTAGTCCAGTTAATCCAGGTATTTTAGTAAGACACATGGAAATATATACAGTATCTCACAAAATTCAGTACACCCTCACATTTTTGTAAATATTTTGTTGTATGTTCTCTTGGGACAACATTAAAGATATGACACTTTGATACAATGTAAAGTAATCAGTGTACAGCTTGTATAACTGTAAATTTGCTGTCCCCTCTAAATAACACAACAGTGAGCCATTAATATCTAAACCACTGGCAACAAAAGTGAGTACACCCCTAAGTGAAAATGTCTAAACTGTGCCCAAAGTGTCTATATCTTGTGTGTTATTTTCCAACACTGCCTTAACCCTGTGGCCATGGAGCTCACCAGAGCTTCACAGGATGCCACTCCTCTTCCACTCCTCCATGATGACATCATGGAGCTGGTGGATGTTAGAGACCTTTTGCTCCTTCACCTTCCATTTGAGGATCACCCACAGATGCTCAATAGGGTCTGGAGTCTGAAGACATGCTTGCCCAGTCATGTACCTTTACCCTGAGTTTATTTATCAAGGCACTGGTCTTTTTGGAGGTGTGTTTGGATTGTTATCATGTTGGAATACTGTTCTGTGGCCCGGTGTCTGAAGGGAGGGGTTCATGCTCTGCTTCAGTATGTCACAGTACATGGTGGCATGTACTGTGTATTAATGGCATGGTTACCTCCATTAATTGTAGCTCCCCAGTGCCAGCAGCACTCATGCAGCCCCAAACAATGACATCCCACCACCACGCTTGACTGTAGACAAGACACACTTGTCTTTGTACTCCTCACCTGGTTGCTGCCACACATCCTTGACACCATCTGAGATAAGTTTATCTTGGTCTCATCAGACCACAGGTGATCCATGTCCTTAGTCTGCTTGTCTTCAG